TCCCTACATCGAACAACTTAGCTAGCAGCAGAGTCAAAATGGACCTTCATTTCTTTTTCGGGGGAGAGGTTTTTGCTATAGGGCATGTGAGCTCGCCAGAGAGACAGAAAGCAGGAAATCACCAGGGGAGCTTGCCACGCCTCAGTCTCTTCTCCTCCATTCTCCTCTTGGGATCTTGGACACATACGCACATATGCCCAGCATGAGTTTAAGTCACCAGGTCCAGGACTTGAACCGAGGTCGACTACATGGGAGTTTAGTGACAGCCATTATGCCAACTGCTGGTCCCCAAAATGGACCTTCATTTCTTGACTGTTATTTTTTTCCTATGCTGGACTTTATTTCAAAATAATAACATCTAGGGTCAGCAGATAGTGTTGTAGTTATATAGCTGGACTCCCACATGCTTGACTGCAGTTCACGTCCCGGACCCAGTGGCTTGAAACTAACACTGTGTGCATGCCCAAAATTCTGGGAGCTGAATGGAGGAGAAGGGGTTGTGGCATGGCCATCTCCCTGGAGGGTGATTTCTCACTTTCCTTCTCACTGTCTCTGTCTGTCTCTCTTTCTGGGGAGCACATGCGCCTCAAGGCAAAAACCTCTACAAAAAAGAAAAAAATCTAATTTAAGATATAAATAAAAGACTCCAAGTAGTTGTATTATATCCTATGAATCTTTTTCTTCTTTCTCTCTCTTTTTTTTTTAATCAAAAGACCTCTTTATTGCTTACATTAAAATATCAGGAGAATGTAGATGGCACTTTAAATTGAAACATAGAATTGACATTGTCTTAAAAAGCTAAAACCTGTCATAAAAAAACACTATGATACAGTGCTTCAGATTAAATAAGGTTTGTGTGCATAAAAGGGCAAAAATAGTTTTATTCAAAATATACAGTAATGTTATCAGCCACCAGTAAAACAGGTTTTCATTAAGAGAAATCACACAGTTATTGACCTCTTGTTTAGCTGTTTCGATTCACACAAAGCAATTTAGTAAAAGTAATTTCTTTCTTTCTTCCTTTCCTTCTCTTTCTTTCTTTCTTTTTGAGAGATTTTTGCTGTAGGACATGTGCGCTCGCTGGAGACACAGAGACAAAGAGACAGAAAGCAAGAAATCACCCCCCCATGTGGGGTGGCCACACCTCAATCCCTTCTCCTCCATTCTCCTCTTGGGATTTTGGGCACGCATATGCACATGTGCCTGTTTTGAGCTGCTGGATCTGGGGCTTGAACTGTGATCGACTAGATGGGAGTCCAGCGACATAGTCATTACACCATCTGCTGGTCCGAGTGAAAGTAAATTTTAAAACAGCAATGAATTGCATACTTTATTTGGGAAAAAATTTTCCAAACAACACTTAAAAATAAGTATTCTGATGATTTGAAGTTGATAATGAGTCTTCTACTACATTGTATATGCAGAAATTGTTTCTCCAATTTGTGTTTGCTATTTTGATTTGATTTGATTCGATTTAGTTTGCTATAGGGCACGTACGCTCACCGCAGGTACAGGGATGTGGATTGAGAAATTACTCTCAAGGGGAATGGCCATGCTACAATCCCTTTTCCTCTTGGGACTTTGGGCCCACATGTACATATGCCTGGCCTGGCTTGGGACTTGAACCATGGAGTAGGCCATGTGAGAGCCAGCACCTTAACCTCCACACCGCCTACAGACCTGCTGTTTAAATTTTTTATATACAGGACCATATTCCACACTTTTAAATAGTTTCATTTTCATGCTCATTGTTGTAGGTGCTAAATTGTGATTTTTCACATTTATAATTATTTAATGTGTGCAAACAGAATATTGAGGTAGATGATCAGGTTTATTCACAAATAATTTTGAATGTTATTTCTGTAAATAATTTCTCACTAACTTCAAAAAGAACATTTACCCTCACAATGCCATGTAACAGCTGGCACATATAGAATAGAAAAAGAATTTATGTATTCTTAAATATTCATGGATGAGAAGGGAGTGAAAGGAGACAAATATTAGTACCAGTATAACAAAAAGCAGTAATCCAGAGAGGAAGTACATAAAGTAATATCTTCATTCCACTTTTTTGTCTGCCTTTGTTTTTATGAAGAATTCTGGTTTAGGGACCAGCACAGGTGGCATGGTGGTTAAGGCGCTGGGTATTTCCACATGGCTGACCACAGTTCGAGGCCTCGACCTGGTGACTTGCTCTCTCACCTTCTCTCTCTCTCTCTCTCTGTATCTATCTAGTCAAAAATGAATGAATAAGTAAAGTTAAATAAATCATTTTAAAAAAAAAAAGAATTCTGGTTTATAGAGACATTGATAGGCCAAGAGCTGAGGAAGAACTCTGTATGTTATGTTTAAGGCTGAAAAAAAGGACTTTTGCTTCTTCAAGGACTATGTACACATAAGAAGTTCTAGGGTGAAGAGAAGCACCAGTGTGAGAAAACTGAGCCTGAGGTTGTCCTCAGGCATCCAGGAACTTTCAGGAACGACTAAGCCATAAAGGACAATGACAAAGTAAGGGACAGAATACAACATAGATGGCAACACATGCATTTCGGAATAAGCCGCAGGATCCTTTAGGTAGGGCTCTTGAAATTGCATGTATAATTTGCAGAGCTCAGCTGGACAATCCAAAACAATCACCCTTCTGAACAGACAAAATCCCATTGCCAGGAGGCCACACACAGCCAACATTAAATCAAATGGCTTTCACAGCAGGTCCTTTGCTGAGGCTTCTT